TTCATCTCCACCCACTCCACATCATTTGGTCGCTCACATAAAGCCTTGACCCCGAGGTAGTGAAAGAACCTAGGCCGTGAGAAGGTTCCTTACTCGGCCGAACAATCGTTTGATTAAAGTCAGATCTCGGACGCAACACATCCATCAACTCACATTCCATTCAAGCCCAAATTCGGGGCTTGGTGGTGGCACGCCCCGCACTCAAAAAAGAAGAAGGACCAAAAACTCCTTCAATCGGCCTACCCGGCCGAAAAGAGGGAAACAGCAATAAATTAAGTTTGTGTTATGTTTCGGTTGGTGTTTTTGGTTTAGTGACTTTTAGTCTCCTCACGCCCGAAGAGAAAAAAAAGGTCTTTTTACGTTTCAGTTTATGATTGCTTATATGTTTTGTGCCAACATATCAGGTGTCCAAAGAGAAGGCAAAGAACTTGGGTATTGAATTCATTCAATTAGAGGTTAGCCTCAAGGAAACAGTTGAAAGCTTGAAAGAAAAGAATTTTGTCAATTTCTGAGTCTTCTTGTTTCAATACAGTGAAGGTCTTTGCAATAAATTAAGTTTGTGTTATGTTTCGGTTGGTGTTTTTGGTTTAGTGACTTTTAGTCTCCTCACGCCCGAAGAGAAAAAAAAGGTCTTTTTACGTTTCAGTTTATGATTGCTTATATGTTTTGTGCCAACATATCAGGTGTCCAAAGAGAAGGCAAAGAACTTGGGTATTGAATTCATTCAATTAGAGGTTAGCCTCAAGGAAACAGTTGAAAGCTTGAAAGAAAAGAATTTTGTCAATTTCTGAGTCTTCTTGTTTCAATATAGTGAAGTTCTTTGCAATAAATTAAGTTTGTGTTATGTTTCGGTTGGTGTTTTTGGTTCAATGACTTTTAGTCTCCTCACACCCAGAAAGAAAAACAATGTCTTTTTTACTTTTCAGTTTATGATTGCTTATATCCTTCAGTGAATTTCTAGACAAGTGTTGCATTGCAGTTTTACACACACTACATTGCAGTTTCCATTTAATTACAATTTGCTAAATTGTTTTATCATTGGATATTGGTATGATTTTTGAAGTTGATGAAAATTATACATTGTGTCATCAATGGATATGTCTTTTTCACTTTGTTTAGTTGCTTGTTTTCATGATGGATTTGCTTCTTTTTCTTCTTTTTTTTGGGTTAGTGTGGTTGCAACTTGATCTGCAATTTCTGATTGTTTAAGTTGAATTTTTTAAGCCCCAATGATGATTGGATTTTAGGAAGATATCTATCTAATTTTGAAGCTATATGTTCTTTTGACTTAATTTTAGTACTTTAATCATGGCTTTTGCCTTTTTGTTGCTTACAATTTTGTTGAGTTAGTTTCTGTTTGGTCAGTTTTGGTTACAAAATGGATTGTAGTTTCTGTTTTTAATAGTGAATTTTTTAGAAAAATAACTTTAATATTTTTGTTTTGTTTTTTGTTACTCTTCCAAATATGTTTTTGTTAAATTGTAGAGCATGAGGGATTTGGTACAAATCTTGCACGTATTAGTGTTGAAATGAATTTTTTATTTATTTTAAAAAGGTGACTATTAATATAAATATTGTGCAACTCAACAAATATCACAAGGTTGTTGTAGTGGTTTTGTGAGAGAGGCTTTCCCTTTTTAAGCTTGCAACTTGTGGGTTTATCCACGTGTTAAGTATGAGTGATGCCACACAGAGGAGAACGCGATGAGAGTATTTGTCCAATATTGGAAAGTTAATGGTCCTATCATGGTCTTTTAAGTAGGGCGTGCTTCGCTGCGGATATTATTATCTTGCTCTGCTGCTAAGCCTGCATCTAAAGTCATACTGTATTGCCAAAAGATAATAATGATGTGTACATAATGTCTTCTAATGTACACCCACAAGCAGCAGAGAAACTATCAACATCCATCTCTCATATTTGCAGCACTAAGTATATTTTCTATGCGTTCCGACATTAATAGCACAGAAACCATAAGGTCAATGGATGTCTGTCTAAATCTATCGAATAGGGGGTAGAAAAAGCCTCTCAAGAAAAAAGAAAAACAAAAGAAAGAATGCTGACATAAAGCAACAGCATTACTGGCGATGTACCATCATAGCAAAATTTGTTGAAATATAACGCTGATTTTACTTTTCTTGCATATCCTCCTCAGTCTTCCAGACAACATCCTCCAGGCATGTAGAGAGGTTCTTATAAAACTGCAGAAAAAAAGGGTAAATAATTCAACATTCAAGTATGTCAACTTCTTACCTCCAATGTACTAAAAAGCTAGCTCACATATGTTGGTTTCACATATGATAAGGTATGTGATAGGTAGGCTAATAGTAAGCTAGCTCACATAAGTATGTTTTTATTAAATGTGTGCTAACAAACAGCACCTTGTCCAGCCGTACCCGTAACCCCCACCCCCCAATCCAAAACAAAAAAACAAAAACCAGGCCCTCTATCTTGCATGCACTTGTTCCAGACGATGCCCCGAGTACTACGACCATAAATCCTAGTAGGAAGCTTATTTTACATATCGCATTTCCCAGAAAATTGGTTAAACATGTCATGAGACTATACACATCAAATAATAAAGAAAGTTCACAGAAGCAAGAGTACCTTGTGGAACTCCAAGGTGTCCCCTTTGGCTTTTCGCACCTCAACCATGTGAAGAGAAGGTGCCACTTGAAATATCTGATCGATGCAAGTGTATGTAAAAACAAAGTCTAACTGATACTGATCTATCTTACTAATTACATGATCAACACAACTTGATATGTACCTCTGTGGCAACATTAAGGTTTCCCTTTCTTCCAGCTTTCATGTTTTCAAGCCTCAGCTGAGAGAATACATAAAACTCGTTATCTTCCCAACATAGTACACAAAATGCCTCAACCTAAAATTCCAAATTCTGCACGTCCTCACCTTGTAGTTTTTTTTATGTACGTCAAAACCAAGAGGCTTTGCAGCTTCTTCAATTTTATGAATTATCTCATTGGCAGGGCATTTGGATGTGAACCTTGTTTCTCTCTTAAATTCCTGCAGATTAATTTTATAAAAGGATAAACAATAGCAGATAACATCAGAAAAAGCAATGTGTTTTATAGAACAATGCGTTTCATTTTAACTGTTTTTTAGTTTTCACTAATTACACTTATCTTTCCTATTACACAAATTGATGAAACTTAAAGTCTTTTATCACCAAGATTCCAAAGAAACCTAAAATGCTGGGGAGAGAGTGACAGAAAATTTCACAACATATATCGGACTCCTTATAATGTGTAACAGGCATAATACTATGTACAACACATGCAGCTAAAGAAATCCAGCAAGCCCTTCGACAAGCAAACCTGTTCTACATCAAACAAATTCCCCAGGTTAAGCCCCTTTGACATTGAAATTAACTCAAATGCATTCATAGCTGCTGGTTGTTCTTCCTTCTTTTCTGTCACATGGTGCTCCTGTCATGAAACCAAGAACATGCATCAGACAAAGTTTAGAATAGCACCAATTTCTTTCAAGAAACTTTTTATTATGCCTACCACCCAAAGACAAAATCTTATTCATAATTAATAGAATCCCTTCCACATACTTCTGAATCCTTAAAAACAGCTTCTACATCATCCAAGTTTGTATCTTCTTTCTCCTCAAACACAAGTGACTTGTAATCCTTCTTGAACCATTCATCTTCAAGAATTTCAGCAATAGTGATACGCTGCCATATAAAACAGGAAATCAGGATTGCCAACTAAATAACTGGTGGTGAGAGAACATTTAAGGAAAGTCCACATAAAAAATTTGGTCAATGATAAATTCTCAGTTCTGGAGGCCACTTCAAAAGCTGCACAAAGTGTACTTTGTGGTACAATTATACATGCTCAACATATTCAAACAATCAGGTTAATGCAAATGAATTTTAAGTAACAAATCATATTATCATGAATTTTAAGTAACAGATCATATTATCATGAAATTTTACGTGAATTTAAGAAATTGAAAGGAAAATAAATAAGTCAATTAGTAAAACAATTTTTTTTTTTTTTAAGGAAACAAGATTTATTGCAAAAGTCAATAAATTACAAAGGTGGTCGAGATGACCACAATAAAATAGTAAAGGAAAGCAGAAACGGAGCAGGAAAAATGTTCAATATATTATAGGGTTAATTACAATTTGGTATCCTGAAGTTGTACCCTTAAGGCATGTTAGTCCCTATTGTTTCAATTTTAACAATCACGTACCCTTAGTTTGTAAATTTTTTGCAATGTGGTTCCGCCGTTAGGATTTCTATTAGATCTCTTTATTAATTGCCTACTTTGCATTGTGGGTCCCACTTTTTTTAAATTTTTTTAATTTTAAATTGATTGAAATATGAATAAAATATTAAAAATTAAAAAAACCAAAAATCAAAAAATCAAAAAATTTCTCTCTCTCTTCTCTCTCTTCTCCCTGCATTTCTCCATCCCCATGCGATTTTCTCCTTTGATCTTGGCTGGTCTTTCTGCAATCCAGAAACCCATTTGATCCATCTGGGTCTTTCATCATCTTAGCTTTTGTCCTATTTTTTTTTTGTTAAAGTTGGGATTTTGGGGTCAAAATCCACAAACCAATCTTGAAACCCAACTGCTCCCTCTCTCTCTCTCTCTCTCTCTCCATGACAAGAACCCAGAACTCCAGCAACCATGAACCCATAACCCTTCTGCAATTTTCTTCTTCCCCCCTCCCTTTTTCTCCCTGCATTCTCCATGACCACCACTCTTCAAACCCCACGAACCCAGAACCCAAGACCCCAGCCCCCACGAACCCAT